AGTAGAGATGAGTTTAAGTCAATGACAGGTTGATGGGTTCTGATAGGTGGTGGCTCATTCTGCTGCATCACTAAGAACTCCAGTTATTTTCTGTCACATGTTAACCAACAGGGTGAAGTTTATTAAAACTGCATAATAGATTAGGCTTTAATAAGAATCGACTGCAGAGTATATTATGATCTCTATAAAAAGGTGGGGTCCACTTCATAGAAAACCGGAAATTGGCACCAGCCAAGAAAGGCGCGATCAGTGCATCTCTCCTCAGACTGCTGGGACCACCACCTCCCCCTCAGCAGCAGACACAGATCAGCCATGTTTCTGTGACATCACAATAGCATCCAGCTCTATGAATACAGGACAAAGTAAATTACTTCTGCCCCACTGGGCCTCAGAATCAGCCAAAATGTAGAGCTGCAAAATGTCTGAGGCAGGAGGAGAAGGAGAGCTGCAGGTTCTTAACGTTCCTCCTTTTAAGTTATTAAAAAAAAAAAAAAATTTAAGTGCGACACAGAACATGCCTGACTCCTTATAATCTTTATTTGCTCCTTCAGCCTCTGCAACCAAGCTGCTCGTGTTTAAACCGCAGCATTAATCTCTCCCAATTAAAATTGAAATGTCATCCTCTGATTAATCTAATTAAAAAACATAATTAAGAGCATTTTCAGAAGCCGAAGAGCGTAACAGTTGACGATGAATCCGATTCCGTCGCACTTTATATCTGGGACCAGTGTCTGTTTCTTTTTTAGTGAGAAAATAAATAAAATGATGCGATTTTTGAATGGACTTACCAGCTGGTTTCCGTGTTATCATCTCTAACATCGTTATACGCTTCTCTGCAAGCTTCCTTATCGATCTGAGTTGCCATCGTTGATGAAGATAGTAGTCGGTGGGGAAATAAGCCTTAAATCGGAGCGAACCGTGTTTGGGTCAAACGGCAGAAACAAGTGTTTAATTGAAGCGGTGGATGCTGCGCATCGGAGAGGCTGTGCGCCGAGAGGAGGACGGGAGTCTGCGGGAGCTGGTGCGGGGCCTGGCTGAGTTAACGGACCGCGGCTCCTCTGATAGAAACTGGGCTCATTTCCTGGATGGTTCCGCTTTATGGGCGGTGTTGATGTTAGTCAATCAGGCTGCGGCACACTCGGTTCCAGACAGGAGACACTGTGAGCTCTCCTCCTCCTTCTGGCCGCTGGCAGATCGCAGTAAATTACAACAAACACACAGCAGTGGCTTCCGGAAAAGACCCTTCAAAATAAAGTACACATTTGTATAGCTGTGACGCAGACATAGGCTAATATACCAATAATATTTGACCTATTATTATTGTATTGAAAATGTCTGTATTTAATTACTTTGACCTTGAAAATGTGCATGTTACTGCCAAGGCAAAAAATAAAAAATAAAAAAAAATACTATTATTACATCTTTGATTTTGTGGTTTTTCTTAGATGGTTTTCCTTTAAACTGAAAAAGTCCTTAAATTATTTTCTAATATAACCTCCCAAAGAAGATCCATTACTGGTTTACAGGGGGTTAACTAGTGTTTTTTCTATGGAATGTGCCCTATAGCTTCCTAGTTGGTCCAAGGTTCAAAATGAAGAGGCTTTATTTCATTGGGAAACTTAGGAAACAATCCACCTTGGTTTCTAGAATGTTACATTACAAAACCTTACTCAATGTTTTCTAGTATCTTTTAAAATGTTTATTCCCTTTATACTGAACCTGCACGGCAGGAAATGTGATCTTAATGTTCTTATGAGGTCACAGGACAATTTTAAGTCATAATATCTAAGGTTGACCTCTAGGGAACTAGAACAGATTATTTCCTGAAGAGTTTGCTTAGGTCATAACATCTTTCACCTCCATGTTCAGGTAACATTCTCTGATGCTTACATACTGTCCACCAGTCAGGAGCCTTTAGAGAATGCTTTTTGAAGGTTTTTTTTTTTTTTTTTTTGATTTGGTAGGTCCAATTCTGACTTAGGAAAAAAACAGACTTTGTCTAGAATAATATAAATTATGGGTTGTATGCAAAACTCCAATGCTTCCTGAACTTCAGCTCTTTTGTTTCCTGTCTTTCATCACTGGATGGACTGATTAATCCAGATGTGCGTTGCCATGGTTACTGAGACAATGCACACCTGGATTAATCAGTTCATTTGTATAAAAAGACAGGAAACAAAAGAGCTGCCTTAGGTTCAGGAAGTAGTGGGGATGTGCATAGAGCCCATTGGATTTTCAATTATGTAATAAGCCATTTAACAATTGTGCAATTTAAATAATGACATTGTAGTATAATTAATATTTGAATGATGTATTGCATAAATAAATAAATGCATTTTAAAATAACCTGTAATTATTTTCTTAAAGAAATATTTGAATCATTTAATTGGGTATTTTTTAAATTCAATTCAATTCAATTCAGTTTATTTATATAGCGCCAAATTCACAACACATGTCATCTCAAGGCACTTTACAGTTCAACCAGATCATCCAGTCAAAATTGTACATTCTATAATTTCATTATGTGATATTTAATGATGTGTTAGATATATAACAAATATTTTTCAAATAACATTTAATCATTCAATTTATGATTTAAAAATTGATTAGTAACCATTATGCACACTTATATTCAATTGTGTGTTTCATAATTTCATGATATAAATCTAATACTCAAATAATATGTTAGTTAAATACATAAAAATACATCTAATTATTTTAAATTTTGAATCTTTTAAATAGTTTGAAGGGGTATTTATTTAATAGTGCATTTCTTAATTCTATGGTATATCTAAGTTTTGAACCATTTTTCGATACGTAAATGTTCCCATGATTTATTTCAGGGGAAACTTACCATTATATAGTTCAAGATATATTTTGGCTTTCCATATAGGCCATAGGCTGAAGCTCAAAATGAGGCTAGAAATAGGATTTCGCTCCACTAACCTGGGGACTACTTTTCAATAGCAGTTTTCCAATCTTAAATATGTACTCGAGCTGGGAAAAAAAGTTCTCCATGGGATACCTGCCAGTATTTGAGAAAATGGGTGCCAAAGGTGGCAGTTTACCCAAAAAAGTGACAAATTTGGGTCTTCTACCATTTTCAAACCCTTGTAACTTTTTTATTATTAAGGCTATCAGACTCAGAATTTAGATTCCCACAGAGATTCATACTTACTCAGAGCTTATATAGCGGCAATGTCCTGCGTGCTTTAAGTAAGGAGTTATTCTAAATGAAAAAATACACTTTTTAACAATTTCACAATCTCCCAAAATATATCTTTATTGCACATGAAAACTGCAATTCTTTGAATTTTCAATTGAAAAACTCTAATAGCAAGATATCCTTTTGTGTCTGGTTAACTAATTATTATGAAAAGTGGTGTGAATTTTATCACCTAGCAGACCAGTTACAATATTGGACGCAAAATTTTAGGAAATCACTGAAACACAGCTAAAATTTGAACAATGAAAACTAGGCACAAAGACATTTCTGTTTTTAAACAATCACTTTTATTAAAATTAACATTAACCTTGTTAGATAATGTCAACTCATCACTTACACCTATGCACCAAGCAAGTGAATTATACAATTCAATTGGCACAATCTTTCTAGCTGAGGAAATATTTAGATCCTCAGATGTAGGAGGCCAATTGGCACTGATGTTAGGGGCACTCTTAACTGCTTGTTTAAGAGTTATACCTGCACTATAAATGGTTCTGGTACAGCCTCATTGTGCTGCATATGTACCACTTTCCTGAACTGTCTCTCCACCACTCGACAAAGTCTCTTGCGATCCTGATGACTCAGTTTCAGTTGATGAACCCTTGTTGAGAAGTCCTGTAGCTTGTGTAAATACCATTTCACTCAGGTTTTTCCTCGGAGGCTTGTAGAAATTTAGTTGGGAAAAGTCTTGCCTCAGTCTTTTCTTCAGAAGATCTGATCTGTGAAAAATTGACAAGGAATAATAAATATATGCTGATGTGAATAATCCATCCATCCCACTTTATCCTTCATGGGGTCGCGGGGGTTTCTGGTGCCTATCTCCAGCGTTCACTGGGCGAGAGGCGGGGTACACTAGCCTGACGTAGTCCTACTCAATTCTAGTCAGAATGAGTCTGATGCTGCTCCATAGAGCTGTGATTATGGGGCGTGTTTCGAACGAACCAGGAAAAAAAATGCCTCTGCACTCAATTGGATAGACCTACAACCAATAAGAGCAACGGAGTGCGTGACGTATCTTAAGCGAGGCATAGTTGTTGTCCACAAAAATCAAAGTGTGCAGTTGCATGCCTAGAATAAGAAGATGAGACTTGATCGCGTTTCTCTGTTCCTCTTTTAAAATTAATTTGCTGTCGATATCTTCTAGAACAGACCTAATAGCAGAATCTACTCACCTCAACTCTCCAGCGGCAGCCATTGTTGTTGTCACCCAAGCCCGCTTTGGTCACGTGGTTGATACTGTTGATCATCTGTCCATCATCGTATAAAGCCCGCCCTGACAATTTGATTGGATCGCCTGACAGTGGGCGATAATACTCGCGCTACTATGGAGCAGAGCCAGACCGAACTTCCCCGACCTCAAACTTTGTGGGCGGGACTAAGTTCGGAATGGCACCCAGGCTAGGGGTACACCCTGACAGGTCGCCAGTCTGTCGCAGTGCAGCACAGAGGCATACAGGACAAACAACCATTCACACCTAAGGACAATTTAGAGAAGCCAATTAGCCTTACAGTCATGTTTTTGGACTGTGGGAGGAAACTGGAGTACCCGGAGAGAACCCCCACATGCTCAGGGAGAACATGCAAACTCCATGCAGAAAGACCCAGGGTTGGATTTGAACACAGGACCTTCTTGCTGCACCATTGTGCAGCCCTGATGTGAATAATATCAAAATCTATTAATGAATCATAATTACCTGTCACTTCCTTGACCATGGTGTTCTCGTATCATTTTCTGGAACAGGGAGGAGAGCTTTTTCATCCTGAAGATTTCTTGTTTTTTAATCAACTGTGCCCAAATTCACAAAATTCATTCTGTGTACACAGTGGCATACTCCCAGGCTTCTGGCATCCTGTGTGAAACAATGCAAAATACAGATGAGTTAAAATGCTTACTCAATCTTAAAATTAACAATGATAGAATATCTCATTTCATACAAATTTATGGTTAAAATGTTTTATTTAAAACTGCATCCAAATGTGTATTCTACATTTTTTACTACAATATAATTTCTCTATAAACTGGGCTTCATTTGTAAGAATAATCAACTTTCAAAAATGTTTAAGCCCAGAATGTAACCCTACCATCAATATATGGTTCACTCTCAAGTATTTGTATTTCACAAATATTCTACTTGAATTATCTGAAATTTACCTTTCATCACTTGTTGTAGCCCCCAGAAATCTTGTATATTCTTTGTAGCATCTTTTCCACTTACAACCTTGAGGATGGATTCATCCGTTTGCAGTTCAGTTGCTTTAACCAAACTCCCTAGCAAAGAGAGAGTTAAAAAAGTTCAATCATAAACCAGCTGCCAACAAATAATATCAAATACTTTTTCTCTGTTTTACGAGACTGAACTGGTAGTTGGATGACAAATTTAAAATCTAACCATTATTTGACAAATGAATTAATTGCCTATCATCACTTCACGTTCATAATAATGCCTTTTATTATTTTTGAGGCCCTACACATAGCCTTCATACGCTTACTTCACAATGAAAAGAGCAGGCTTGGGCTGGCACCAATTACACATGCATTTTTTTAAATCAACATATGTATAACTTTTGCTTTTGGTTATAAGCCACAAACAAAGATGCAATCTGCAAATGATCTACTCACCAGCATTTATAGTTTCTGCTTGGACCATTTTATCTTTCTTTGTCTTGTGTCCTTCCTTCACAAAGCGGTCAGCCCTCTTGCAAATTATACAGACAGCAGGTAGTACATTGCCAGACCTCAATGATTTAGTCGTGGATCTCAACTGTTTTGACAATGGTGGCCGGCTTGTCGTGGACATGGTTGTGGAAGACTCGTGATCAGAATCAGAACCATTGTTGTCACCACCATATGCTCCCCGTTTTTCTGCTAGTTTTTCAGCACTGGCAATTCGTTTCTTATCAATGAAACGCCTATAACAAGTTGGATGAAAACCAAGTTTTTTCCCCCCAAGAAGCCAGAAAGAGTCTTCTGAACAAGCCAGGGTTGACGTGGAATCGTCATTGTTATTTCTGGCGGACTCATCGTGTACACATACAGCCTCTGCCAACGCGCGGTCGATTCCGTCAATTTCTAGCCACTTACGGGCACATACAACCAGCTTCTTCCAACGAACAACTGTGTCCGTTCTTTGTCCATCGATGATATGTGTGTGATGCATATATAATCCACATTTTTCTTGCGTTTTCTGTCTGATCCAACGGGAACGCTCTGCTCCATGGGGGCCGCCATGTTTGTTGTTGTACTCCTCTTTCCGCTTCTGAAGTGGAAGAGCGTACCTGAAGGACGCGCTCTGATTGGCTAACGGCTAGGCGGATTGATTCGAGCATAGATTAACGGTGTGATCAGGCTACCGATATAGTTACACTTTTAAGTAATTACTGTAAAAAATACTGGCGCAAAGTGATTGGAGAACTTTTGGTTATGGGCTCAAAATGCACTTAGGATTTTATTGTAGTTGTCATTTAGTAGTCCCTAAATAGGTGGAGCGAACCTGAACGATACAGGCTTCAGCCTATGGCCTAATATACCTCAGGGATGACATCACAATGATAGTGGAAACCATCTCATGATCCCCCCCATTTGGCGTCCTGGGATCCTGGGGGGTCAGTCCCGATCGCCACTTTGAGAATTGCTGCTCCAGAGAGCCTCCTGACCCCTTTCATCACTGGCCTCCTGTTCATTTGTTAATGGATTAGATTCTTAGTTTATTCTTGGGTTCATAACTATTATACACTGTGATCTACAGAACTATATGAAGGCTGCAGAATAGGCCACTTCCTCTGTTATCCTACTTGATTTGAAATCCACCTTAGTTAAAAGAGAAAACTGAAACCACAGTGTTTGAAATCCTATATTTAAAAAAATATAAATATTTAGCCTTTATTCTGAAGGACAAACGAGTCATTTCCGGTTGTTGTTTTACAAAATACCTCAACTTTACATAGAGTCATTTAATTTTATTTATTTTGATTTATCCATATTCAAATTCAGAAAATATTGCACACTCTGCAATGTTTTTAATCAGACCACCTCAGGTCAAACAAAGATCTCCTCTGTTCACATCATTAATAATTACTCCGTGGTTTGATACCAGGGTAGAAAGCAGAGCTTCAGGGCCTCGTCCAGTTTAAAGGCAACTGATGATGGCTGCCTCTCTCCTGTCCACCAGTTTCACCAGCTGGTCGGAAAATAAGCAGAGATGACCACCAACTAAAGGGATGTCACCAACTACACCAGTCTGCCACCTGCTGGTGCAGCCTGAGCACACAGAGCCATTACCTCCATCCTTGTATATCAGTCCATTAAACATCATTACTAATTTTTCATTAATGCATATTTTTCATTAATGCACCTTGCTACAGAGCTGTCCTCAAACTCCCTATACCCCCATCTGTACACCCATGACTCATCCGGGTATTTCTGCAGGTGACTGGATCCCTGAGCTGAAAAGCCTAAAAAGGAATAGTGAGCGTACAGTTTCTCTATGTGAAGGTAAAAACTTAACTTTTATCATTGCATCATTGCATGAATGTTTTTAGATAAAAACATTCATGCAACGCTTCATTAAAAAAAGCATTTTTATTTTAGTCTATTATTTATTTAAGCGTGTGTCTGGAAAAATAGATGAATTAAAAAGGATGAAAAAAAAATCCTGATAAATATTTTATTATAGTTTAAATATCCTTAACTAACACAACCTCACACTGGTGGGATTTATTTCCAACAGAAAAACCGGTTGTTCTGTTTTCTGTGATTGTTGCCTTCAGTCATTTTTCAACACTTTGGGAAAGTTTTCCTGTCTTGAACGCCCACATCATATGAAACAGCTGATTTCAAAATATGTGACGTCAGTGACAACATCCGGTTAAGATAGTTGATTTCAAAATAAACCACCAAGAATAAGACTAAAGAAACAAAACAATTATTTACATGATAAATATTTCATCTTGTTTTATAGCAACATGTAGAAATAACTTTGGTCTTACTTGTTTAATTAACTTTTTTTATTTTTTTTTATTGTGTTTCTGCAGGCGGGAATTGTCAAGAGTACTGGATGCATCACCATGGCAACAGCCTCCTATGGCAACCTGCTAGATACCAGTTTCTCTCTTCCGACAGAACCACAGCCTCATCCTCCTGAAATTGCAGTCTATTTTACTCCGTCTGATGTTGAAACACATCGTATTGTTTTATATATATTTATCGGTCTCCGCCAGTCACGTGACATTTGTTGCTAAGACGCCATTTTTGGTGGAAAAGGCGTAGTGTAAACAACCGCAGCATAGCTAAACGAAGGACTAAAGGATTGAGTTTGTTTCTCTGACTATATGGAAAAAAGTAAGCAGAATGCGAAATTACCGTACAGGTGTCGTGCCAAGGTAGTTATCCCTGCGAAAATTTGTATCCCCTCGTCGGGAGCGCGCACGGAGTAGGAAGAATAACCCGACTTAACTCCGCCTAAATTCCAACGTGCAGAACTTGAAATTTGAAAGGTTTTACGTGTATGAAAGTTGAGCTTTACTGTTTTATTCTTTACTTCACGTGTTATAGCAGAATATCGCCAGTGATATTGATTTAAAACTGATTATAAAACACAAACGTTTGCTTGAAAGCTGGTCGCTGACAGCAGTGTCTACTCCTCCATCTGAAAGCAAACAGATCCTTGTTCTTTTCCACACGTTCATTAAAAAAAATCTCTCATTGTTTCACAGTATCCAAATGTTCTCATCCCATTAAAAACTGTTGTAAACCATATACTTGTAATAAAAATAAAATAGAAAATGGAGTGCACGTGTAATCATTAAAGACTATATGCAGATGGAAAATAATTTTTTCCTGGTTGAAATTTAGTACTTAAATCTATATTTGTGTTTATAGTAACGTACAATTTATCTATGTTGTACTATTCTTAATAAACAGTTTGTCTTCTAACATCAGCCGTTTTATTTCATCCCATTTTGCCAGAATTGGCAATATGGGATAAAATAAAACCTGCTGTAATCTGTTCCCCCTGTCTCAATCAGACAAAAAAGGCCCCAGCTTTTTTATTTTTGGCTTATAAGCATCTTTTATGATGACAATTTATTCCTGAAACTTTGGATGTGATGGACCTTTATTTCTTAAAGTTATAAGGGGGGAACAAATTATAGCAGGCCACCTGCTGTAATCTGTTCCCCCCTGTCTAAATCAGGCAAAAAAGGTCCCAGCTTTTTCATTTTTGGCTTATAAGCTTACAAACCTCTTTCTGTGGTTCTGTGGATTTTTGTCTCAGCTAGAACTTCGGTTCTTTTCACATCATGACACAGGAACCTTTTACAGACAGCAGAGTGTGGAGACCTATAGAAAATTACACAGATAAAGCTCATTTGACAGATAAACTGAAGACACCACTATGTCTCTATGTTCATCGAGCTTCAAAAAGAAAGAAAGAAAGAAAGAAAGAAACAAACAAACAAACAAACATTATTTTGAAAATCCTTACCGGAAGTCGCACTGTTTAGCCTGCAGCTAACGGAGAACTCGTTTGAAACTTGGCTAATGTGCAAGAGTAGAGGAAGGAGAGTCCTGGACTGAACCTCCAGAGTGTCCCCTAAAGAATAAAATGTGTTGCTTCATCTTTTGTTACCACCGCAGGTAAGAAGAGATGTCCTCAGTCTCTGCCGTCCTGTGTGTCTGCTGTCCTCTGTCTCTGCCGTCCTGTGTCTCTGCCGTCCTGTGTCTCTGCCGTCCTGTGTCTCTGCCGTCCTGTGTCTCTGCCGTCCTCAGTCTCTGCCGTTCTCTGTCTCTGCGGTCCTGTGTCTCTGCCGTACCTTGTCTCTGCCATCCCTTGTCTCTGCCGTGCTTAGTCTCTGCCGTCCACAATCTCTGCGGTCCTGTGTCTCTGCCGTCCTCAGTCACTGCCGTCCTGTGTGTCTGCCGTCCTCAGTCTCTGCCGTCCTGTGTGTCTGCTGTCCTCTGTCTCTGCCGTCCTGTGTCTCTGCCGTCCTGTGTCTCTGCCGTCCTCAGTCTCTGCCGTTCTCTGTCTCTGCGGTCCTGTGTCTCTGCCGTACCTTGTCTCTGCCATCCCTTGTCTCTGCCGTGCTTAGTCTCTGCCGTCCACAATCTCTGCGGTCCTGTGTCTCTGCCGTCCTCAGTCACTGCCGTCCCTTGTCTCAGCTGTCCTCAGTCTCGGCCGTTCTCTGTCTCTGCGGTCCTGTGTCTCTGCCGTACCTTGTTACTGCCATCCCTTGTCTCTGCCGTCCTCTGTCTCTGCCTTCCTGTGTCTCTGCCGTCCTCAGTCTCTGCCGTCCTCAGTCTCTGCCGTCCTCTGTCTCTGCTGTCCTGTGTCTCTGCTGTCCTGTGTCTCTGCCTTTCTGTGTCTCTGCTATCCTCAGTCTCTTCCGTCCTCAGTCTCTGCCGTTCTCTGTCTCTGCCTTCCTGTGCCTCTGCTTTCCTCAGTGTCTGCTTTCCTCAGTCTCTGCTGTCCTCTCACTCTGCTTTCCTCTGTCTCTGCTTTCCTCTGTCTCTGCTTTCCTCAGTCTCTTCCGTCCTCAGTCTCTGCTGTCCTCTCACTCTGCTTTCCTCTGTCTCTGCTTTCCTCAGTCTCTGCTGTCCTCTCACTCTGCTTTCCTCTGTCTCTGCTTTCCTCTGTCTCTGCTTTCCTCTGTCTCTGCTTTCCTCAGTCTCTTCCGTCCTCAGTCTCTGCCGTTCTCTGTCTCTGCCTTCCTGTGTCTCTGCTTTCCTCAGTCTCTGCTGTCCTGTGTCTCTGCTGTCCTGTGTCTCTGCCTTTCTGTGTCTCTGCTATCCTCAGTCTCTTCCGTCCTCAGTCTCTGCCGTTCTCTGTCTCTGCCGTTCTCTGTCTCTGCTTTCCTCAGTCTCTGCTTTCCTCAGTCTCTGCTTTCCTCAGTCTCTGCTTTCCTCAGTCTCTGCTTTCCTCAGTCTCTGCTGTCCTCTCACTCTGCTTTCCTCTGTCTCTGCTTTCCTCAGTCTCTGCCGTCCTCTGTCCCTGCTGTCCTCTGGGAACACCAGAATCACTGACAGTAGTTCTGATCCTTGTGGTGGGTCCAGTTCTAATAATGAACATGTAAGCGTGAAAATGATCAGTTGACTGAACAGTTGACATGATTCTGGTGTTATGAGGAAATCTGTCACCCGTCATAAACTGTGACCCAAGGGGACGCTTGCATGCATTTCTCAATGGTATACATTGAGACTTTAGTTTTAAGGTATGAATCCTGTGAAGTTAGGTTTAGTAGGTTGCAGGCTGATGCTTGAGTCATAATATATGACATGTCACATGCATTATTTGATGCACTGGACTTCTCCCACTGGATGTCAGTGGGTTTTGGGATTCCGCCATCAGACTCTGGGACCTGGAATTTCAAATCAAATAAAAAATATATATATAATCTGAAAAGAGAACTTTTGATCACTCAGTTGGGTTCTGGTTCTCCTCAGGTAAGACGATTCTGACATCTCCGGTTTGGGAGCAGAATAATAACAGAGGAGTAAACCAACTCATGTTGTGAATCAAACTGTAAAGTAATTATTTTAGGTTGCAACTCCAGCTGTGATCCGAAATCCTGAATGGGCTTTGCTTCCCAGTCCTGCTCAGGCTGCATTTTTCTATTCATCTTTCTTTGAATATGCAGCAGTCTGTGAATGAGCTAACGGTTTCCTGTCCCCAGTGACTGTCAGAAGCAGAAACATTTGAACCAATCAGAGCTCTTTGGACCTCACCTGAAGAACCTCTTACTGATGTTGGACCTGTAGACTCAGCGTATCTCCGTCTGCTTGCCTAACAGCAGGTACATTTTTGTTTTTCAGATGAATCCTGTCTGACGGAACCTTATGGACAGACTGGGCTACATGCGTCGACCCTGCAGGGTCAGCGAATCCCCCAAGGTCAGTGATTGAAATCTGGACGTTCTGGGAGGAGAATATTTAGTTGTGTCTATATCAGATCTCTGATCAGTCCATTGTTGCTGGCAGATCTTCCGCTCCACGGACCAGGCTGTTGAGGTGCTGCAGGGCTTCAACGACCAGCGGCAACAAAACCGCTTCTGTGACGTAGTGCTGGTTGCCGACGGCCAGCGCTTCTCTGCACACCGGGCCCTTCTGGCCATCTCCAGCCCGTACTTCCATGCCATGTTCACCCTGGGTATGAAGGAGGAGCACCAGCAGGAGGTTAGTGGTCACGCTCCTCCATCATTCCATCCATTTCATTTACCAGCAGACCCCAGCATGACGCATTCACCTCCATGCTTCAGTCTTGTGTTTTATACCCTAGAATTTGAAACTTTGGATAGTTTCTATGTAGTGCGAAGGAATCCAGATGGATGCAGATAGAGATGAAGCTTCCAGAGGTTAATCTTTTTTTTTTTCCATTTGTCAAAGCAAACGCGGTAAACTGGACTGATCTAGGAAGTAAAAGGGGAGCATTGACAGATCTGAGAGAGACCGGTCCTCTTCTGTCCACAGGTGGAGTTGGTTGGGATGTCCTACGAGGGTCTGAAGGCTGTGGTGGACTTCCTGTACAGCGGGGAACTTCTGTTGGATGGAGGAAACATCGACTGCGTGCTTGAGGCTGCTCACCTGCTCCAGGTGAGGCCAGTTCAACAGATTACAGCAGACAGGTAGACCACATGAGAGGAACCACCACCAGCTGGATCTAGCTTCCATCAGAAGCTCATCAGTCAGGGTTGGTGTGGTGAGACCTGCCTCTGTATCCCTCTGGAAGTCTCCATGTGGATTTATTATCACAACCAATCAGAGCGTCAGTTAAATAAGCCAAACATCACCAAATGCAACAGCTTTTATCTACAGGCTCCAACCTGCTAAATCTGATCAGCCTTACGTTTGCTTTGGAACTGCAGCTTGCAGATTTACTGATGGAACCATTTATGGTGGTGGTTATAGATCGAGGATGCAGACTTCCTGCTGTGTCTGCAGGTACAAAGGGTGGTTCCCAAATAATGGAAAAAATTAATCGATCCATCCACTACCAAGATGCATTGATATTTATCCATCTGATGAGGTTTTGGTACCAAAAACTGAAGCTGTAAAAACTACTAAAGCCCAAAGAAAACCCCTGAAATAAGCTCTGTTGTTGGATTAGCCTCTTTAAAAGCCCACACTAAAGGAAAGGACGGTTCCTTAGTACTTTAAGTCCAGATATTGAGCCTTTTTTTTGTTATTAAAGTCCAGTTAGGAGGTCAATAACAGGAGATGATTATTCACTACCTGCTTTGTTTTTGATCTCCAGCTGTGGCGCACGGTGGACTTCTGCTGCCAGTACCTGGAGCGGGAGGTGAGCGAGGAAAACTACCTGTACCTGCAGGAGCTGGCGCAGCTCTACAGTCTGGAGCGCCTCGACAGCTTCATCGACCACTTCATCCTCGCTCGATTCGCCACTCTCTCTTTCACTCCTGACTTTCTTCAAAACGTTCCCCTGCACAAGCTCTCCTCCTACCTCTCCAGCAGCCAGGTAAGACCGCTGCAGTCATCCTCTTATCCTCATCCATGCAGCAGTTTATTAGGAAGCCCGCTCTGGTTCTCCATCAGGTCCAGCATGACAGCGAGCAGGCTCTTCTGCAGGCGGCTCTGCAGTGGCTCGGACAGAGCCCGGAGCAAGCTCTCCACGCCAAAGAGCTCCTGTCCCATATTAGGTTCCCGCTGATCCCGATGGAAGACCTGGTGAGCCTGGTGCTGCCGGCGGTGCGGGCCCTGCTGCCTGAGGGGGCCGGCTGTGAGCAACTGGTGGAGGAGGCGTTGGGGTACCACGCCCGGCCAAGCGCTCAGCCACTGCTCCAAACATCAAGAACCACACTGAGGGGAGGGGTGGAACAGCTCCTGCTGATTGGAGGAGAGGTACTGATGGATGCCAACGAGCACGGTTGGATTAAAAAAGTTACAAGTTTCTTACTGTCAGTGGATCTGTTCTACATAGTGATGTTAGGCTATGTCTGCTCGACACAGCTTTGGCCTTTTTGAAGTAGAATCGTGCTGAGAAGTGTTTCGAGTGCACCCCAGGCACGTGAACGTCGCACGCAAAGCATCTTTACGTCAGACTTGTGTTAAGCTTCACAGTAAATTTGAATAATCTCGTTGTGTTAATACTACTGGAGCATTTAGATGCATCAGAATCATGGCTCAAACAGCGGGTTTTCCCATTTACAGTTTTATTCAAAGACAGAAAGAAATTTTAAATTTATGTCTACTTTAGAATTGATTCAGAATAGTTTGTCACATACATAAATCTAAAATAGACGGAGACACGCACATTACAGACACACATCTATACCCACCTCAGTCATCCACTGAATAATATATAACAGATATTTCTTCACACAGCAAATCTAAACAGTTATTTATGCTTCTCTATTAATGTGATCATCTTCATCTGTCAGAACCAGAACAGGAACGTGAAGAACCTGTGGGAACTACTGGGGAGCAGAGTTGGTTTGAATCATTTAAAATATCAGAACAATTTAAAAGGATTATATGTTTTTATATAGTTGTAGGTGCAGCCCACCCAAATAACAGGTCGCATTGGCTGAGAAGTTTCCACTGTAATAGAGCCTGGAAACCAGGATGGATTAGAGCTTGGAGCCATAGTCATAGGAGCACACAGTGATATAACTGTTAGGCATCAGAAAAGCTGTTTATCATATTGCAGTTTTACTGGTCAGATATTAGTTCTTTTTATTATTCATTTA